ATCAGATATTGAAATCACACACACACACACACACAAGATTTGGTTAAGATATTGAGATCTCAGGTAGTTCTGTTAGAAGATGCCCAAGCACTTCTACACATGGAGTTGCCACGTGGCTTCCTGCTCTCACAATATGAGATAATCTTTGGACCCGCTTGGGTGTGGTAAATGAAGAGACGTTATCAGAAAATATTGCTGTTAAAGTATCTGGGTAACAAGTAATATCAGCTTAATTGTTGGTAAACATAAGGTTTCTTTTATGATTGCGTAGACAAGAAATATGTGACTTCATTACAAGAAGCAAGAGTTGGCAGTACCTCAGTCATTAGTCATGTTTCTCAGGGTACTCATTCTTTCTTACTCTTTCTTTGCTGTTCTGTCCCAAGCTACATCCCAGTTTAACAGTAAAACAGCATCTTCTTTCAACTTTGATGCTCCATGAGCATTAGCAGGTTCTTTATTACTGCAGTACAGGGTGATTTGAGTTTCCACTAAAAGCTTCTAATTAATGCTACAAAGCTTTTTACTATTGCTGATTAACAACAGCAAAAACAATTAAGAGGAAAACAGAAATAACTAAAGAACCTGTCTTTGATTGATTTATGATTAAAATGTAGCTGAGCATTATTCACACCACAGTCTACAGTTGTACAGAAAAGGAGGGGTTGGAGAGGCTCGGAAGGCTCTGCCCTGTGTAGATGGCATGGCTGTAAGCACATCGGGGTTGCCTGCGTTGCTGGAGTAACAAGTGTCCTCCTCAGGAGAATTCTGCTACTCTCGTTGGCAAGAAGCTCCACGCCCTTGCAGGCCCTGTCCAACAGTAACTGAAGGGTTTCACCAGTGGCCTGGCTCTGTCGCACTTACATCTCGGCTTTTCTTCAGTTCAGGGTGACCTCTCTCGCTCCTGTTGTTGTGGTGGGGTTTTTTGGGACAGTAAGAGTCTTATTCCTTCATGCAGGCTAATTATGAGATAGAGACTTGCACTAATCTTCCGAGAACAGTTGCCTCTTTCTCAGCTGACTGTAAACAGACTGCCCAAAGTCATGGAAAAGAGTTTAAAAAGAATGTTATTTATATTAATGTTTCCTAGCTGCCAGTTAATACAGATGGAACAGAGCGGATCCCCTTGCAGCTTAAGCGGGAGCTGGGCACTTCCCTTAGAGCCGTTTCACCCCGTCGCCTCCGCCCGCGGGCACAGAGCGGGCCGCAGACGTTGCTGAGGGTGCCAGCTGCGGGAGGGCGCCTGCAGCGGAGCTCAGCTGCCCCGCGCGGACCTTCCGGGGCACGGCTGGTGTGGGACCCGGGGCGGGAGGGCACCCCTTCCCAAGGGGTGCACCTCGCAGCACCGCCTCGGGAGTGACTGCTGCTGCAGTCAGTTCCTGCTGCACGGCTCCTGCTTCACACCCCTTACGCCCCGGAACTGGCACACAGAGAGGACTGATGTATGGATTAAGAAGCACTGATAGAGCAAGTGGAATAAATCCGTTTAAAACACTGACTGAGAGGAGTTTCCTGAACACCTCTAGGTGTTTGCAAGGTTGAGGAGCGATAGCCCAGCACACGCCAGGGGGACAGCCCTGAGCTTTTAAATGCTTTTGATAATAAATATACAAAGTGTCCAAGTATTTTTATTCCTCTTCTGTTGTTTGCTCCACATGTTCATGCAGTCCCAACTCATAAGTTACTGCCTGAACATTTAAATTTGATTTTTTACATTAAGATCTTACAAAAATGTGTATATTGAAACATGCAGTCTTTGCAAGCTATGTTTAATCTTACTATTAGTTGTTGGGTTGTTTTCTTAGGAGAATCTCTCCATTTATATCTGAATGACAAGATACGATTCTGCTGTACTGAGCTAAAGAGAAGAAAATGGTGTATTTTATATGCCTAAAATATGTAGAGTATGATACTGCTTACACTGCCATCTATTACAGATTATCTCACAGGACACTTACAGTGAGCACTGCATTTGGGACTGCGAAGCATGGGTGTTTAATCCTTATAAAGCCAGAGGCTCCCTAATGCTTTCTTGCTTTGATGTCACAGAGAGGAAGAGTGTGCTTTTGATCCAGATGTGGGGAAAAGACGAATAATCCTCCATTTTTCTTGGTAGATTTTCAGGGAATAACCATATTCACCAGTGAAAATATCTGTGCATGTCTTCTAATCTATGTCTCATACTGGTGATGATAAACATAGTCTTCTGTGTAGCAAGGAATGTTTAGTGGCAAGCAGGTACAGAAAGGCTTTCTAGTTTGGTGCATATTCATAACACTAGCTTTCAGGTCTTTTGTACTCGCTAGGAAATGGTGGATTGACTTAAAACTTTCACTAGCAGATGTTCAAGATCACTGAGTGGATTAACCCTATTGCTGAGAAGGTGTGGCTGAAAGCTTTGCCATGGATTTCTTCCCTCGACGTCACGGGGTGTCCAGCGTTTCAGGTCTTCCCTCAGCAAGCCCTGTGCTTTATCTGTACGGGCCCTGGAGAAGGACGCGCTCTCCTGGCTGGTACTTGGCTCACTTCAAGTTTTTTCACTACTTGGAGAAGTACCACAGTGATTTTATACTGAGACCTTGCTTTGTATGAGGTGTTAATAACCATGTTTAAATTTCTTTCTTCTCTTAAATTATATAGTTGATTTTACTTTTCTTACAAGGGCAATTTTATTGTGAAGATTTTCTTTCTTTTTTTTGCTGTGTATGAAATCGAACACTGAGGTGGCTGTTCAGAAACCAGAATTATTCTTGTAATAGTTAATAAGTATGTGTAAGAATAATCTTGTAAAAGCTGATTACCTCAGTTATTAATAATTGGGATTTATGAGGTAAGTAATATGCTGCAACTATATCCAATTCCTTGGCAATTCCACGTGCTAACTTGAAAGATAATTTTAGAAATAATCCTGTATGTGAATTTTCTCGATAATTAACGCATAAGGCTGTGAAATCCTAAGTGACAACTGAGCTAACTTCTTAGGTTATGCCTGTGGCTTCTCCTTGTGGCTTTGACTGTTTGAAGTTGGTGTGGCAATTAGAAGTGTTGTCTCATTTGTGAGACATGCAAATTTGACAATTTTAATTCCATTGTGCTTTGCTTAATTTTATTCTTAGTAAGATTTTTGTTTTCCCTGGATTATTCTGGCAGAACAATTAAGGCATCTGAAGTTTATATGCATGTACACATTTGGCTGTTCTTTGTTTTCATGTATCTATTTTTCTGATTGTTTACTACCTACTAAACAGGCTTAGTGTATGTAATATTTTTGTTATCTTAAAAAAGGTTAATAGAGCACTTTTAATCTATTTTTTTCTGATTCAGCGATACATGAAGTCGTGCAAGTCTGAAGAGAACAACTACAAATCTAACAATTTTTTTTTTGGCCCTTCTCCCTTCAGGTTTGATCAGGAGCTTAAGCGGGTGCCCATCTTTAATTAAACAAGTTATTTTGTTGAACTTGAGTTGGAAAATTTGCACTCTGGAAGTTAGGCATGTGTCAGTGCATCAGGGTGAATTCTAGCCCGTGTGAGGCAGCCCGTGGCCCTTTCTCCTCTGTTTCTGTACTCACACATGTGTTTGGGGAGGACTGGGTTCCTCACAGGAGGACCTGCCTGTGCCCCAGATGCGGGACTGGCTCTCTCCTGAAACCGTGGTCGCCAGCCCTAGAGCCAGCCCTGCGGGCGGGTGGCTGCTGGGCGCCGGGCTGCACCCTCTGCCGTGTCCTACTGCTGGGCTGTGCTGCAGGCCCAGGCTCTACATCAGAGCGTTTTATGTCACTTCTCCAGTTAAAGTCTGTGGAGAACTCAAGTTTTCATCAAGGTATTGAAAGCAAAGTGCCCTCTCAGCCAGGTGTGAGGAAACACCTTCAGCCCGACAGAGCCTTCCCTGCTCCCAGCTGCTTAGCCATTTCCTGAAGGCCTCTTAGATGTAAATGACCCGAGCATTTCACCACTAATTTGGGTGGCAGAAAACTTTGAGAGTGAAGGGCAAGATTAGCAGGAAGAGGTATGCGCTGCATGTCCTTCAGTGCCTTATTGTCCCATCTCCAGACCTCTGGATTGCAGTGTCCCAGGCTGCCGGGGCAGGGCCCGGACTGGAGCATCTTCATGCGTTGGAGGATTTCGATTCTGCCGACCCGGATCGGATGCATTACACAGGAACAGAAATCACACCTAGATTGTGATTCACACATCTGAGGGAAGCCTGACAAATAATTCATTCATGATTCGATACTAGGAGAGCATTCTAAATTATATTTTATATTCATATGCAGTGTGAGTTTTATATTCATATGCAGTGTGAATTCTAAATTATATTTTATATTCATGTGCAGTGTGACATTTAATAGTGGAGCTAAGTAATTCCTTATGCTAAATGCTCCACACACTGTAACAAGATAGCTCTTAAAACATAGAGATTGTTACTTTTTTTCCAGAATTAGACAAATTTTAACCTCGGAGAAGCAGATAGTGAAGTAAGGGCATGTTGTAATTATCACCGAATGCAATAGCTAGAACAGAGAAAGTGTCCGTGTCACTTATTTCAGGGACTGTGCTGCTCCTCTGCGGGCAGCGGCGGCCAGGCCAGGGCAGAGCTTGCACCCGCCTGGGATGAAGGCTGGGCAGCGCCCTGCACAGGCACAGGAACGCGAAGTGTGCGTTTTGGTTTGCTTTTTACAACCTCCTCTGTTCTTCTTCTATCTCTGTTTAAGTGATAGGAGGTACCACAGTCTCAGCTAAATTTCAGCGTTCTTCCAGACACAGGTTTTTCGGGGTGATGTGGTTTGTCAGAATTCCCTGCAGATTCACCGTTTGTGTGCCGTTTTCTTAGCAAAAAGCTGCTTTTCGCAGCGCTTCAGCAGGGGGTGCGCCAGGCTCCGCGGCCCGAGCCCGGCGCTGTCTCCAGCCGTCGAGGGGCCGGTGCGAGCCCCTGCCCGG